GGGCGGGGACGGGGGAAGCTGGGGAAGGGCCGGATGGCCGTGGGAAGGGGGTGGCGGTGCCGGCTGAGGTCCCTTCTGCCCTCCCTAACCGCGTCGCGGAGCTCGAGTCGGCCGGTCGCTGGAGGGTTGTGCCTCTGCCGGGCGAGGGGCCGGAGAGCTGAGCCCCGGGGCCTTGCCGCGGCCGGGCTGTCAGCTCCACCGCTTAGGGAACGCTCAGCGTGACAGCGGCGGTGCGAAGGCCGTGGCGGTTCCTCTCCTGGGCCTCCCCGCTGAGGACACAGAGGCAAGGGAGACCCGACAGAGAGAGCTGCCCTGCCTTTGTTAAGCTTTGATCTCGGAGCTGCAAGGAGGAGAAGAGAGCCGGTACCTGACCAACCTCCCTGCTAGGCTCCCAAGTTCTAGATAACTTCTTAAAACTTTTAAAAGCGCTTAATTGCTTTTTCATAAATAAAATGCCGGGGGTCCTAGTTTTAATAAAATTTACTGTTGTAGGTGGTGGAGTCGGTAAAGACTTCAGTTGTCTCCTTGTGGCTGAGGGGAGAGAGAGAGAGAATGGTCTGGGGAGGAAGGAGTGTGGCCTGATGGGATAGGACAGGGGTAAAATTTGGCTTCATGCTTTTTCAGGAGATTAGAAAGAAAAAGGCAAAAGGTGATCGGGATGGAGAGAGTTGTAGGAGTGAGTTGGTGTTTAGGACGCAGAGCTGGAAGTCAGAGGCTTTGGTTAGCATCAGGTCCATAACTGACTTGATTTTTAAGTTTTGAATAAGTTCTTTTGCTAACTGTGAAAATTAATAATACTTAACAGTGGGGGGTTTTTTTAAATTTACAGTTTCCTGCTTTGGAAATATAAATTACTGTTTATTGGTTGAGCTGCGCTAACTCCCAGTTGATCTTTTTTGGACTGGTGGTAGTCAAGAAAAATAGCCTGGAGACTAAGCATTGGCATGTACTTATCATAGAATCACTTTGGTTGGAAAAGACCTTTGAGATCATCGAGTCCAACCTTTAACCTAACCCTGACATCCCACCACTAAACCATGTCCCTACTTGTCACATTAGCACTCCCTTTCCTAAAGGAAGGACCAATGACTTGGAGATAAACAGAATTTTTTCTATGTGAAAATGTCAGAAATTACCATAACCATAATGCATATTTGTGGTTTGTTGGTTTTGATGAGCATGATTAATTTGTGTTGCTGAAAGGCCTACCTTTGGTAAGAAAACAGTATAATGTTTGTACAATATTATTTGTTTGGGAAATGATGTTAAAAGAATGTGATGACTTAGAAATTTAATTTGTTTTATTTTTATGCAGGGGAAAACTGAGAGAACACAAATTAACAATATGTATTTACTCACACTTTTGTGCCTTAAGAAAAATTACTTGCGTGAGTTGGTGCTGGCAGCACCAGGACTACAGTTAGCATTTGATAGTTTGAGGCACATAATCAGTCTTTTGAAGGAAACTAGTATTTTGCACAAAGATGTAGCATTTTCTTTGAGTAAACTTATGCTTTTGTTGCCTGTTAAGTAGTTATTCCTTATTAAACAACTCTGGAATCTGATACTCTTAAGCTAACACGTGTGTCCTTTGAAATTGATATGGTGGCTTGGACTTCGGCTGGAGCAAGGCGTGACCTGCTTGCTTTCTTTTTGTTGAGAGAGTACTAGTGAAAGGGGAAGAAAAAAAAAAAAAAAAAAGCCCAAACCCACCCTCTCAAAGCCTTTTTGCCTTTGAATGAGTGTGGTTTTACACTAATTATTTGATATATTGATCCAGACTAAAACAATGTTCACTGTTCTTGATGCAGTGTTAATCTTTTGCTGGCTTTTCTGGTCCATTTTTGTGTAAAATTTGATTATAGATAAGAAAAGACATTTTTGATTTTACACGTGTTTATACAAAAGGATGTTTATAGGCTTCTGGGGTGCCTTGTTGTGAGAAAACTATGGATTTCTCAGAAATACTTGTCAGTAGTATAAAAAAAACCCCAACACAAACATACTCCTGTAAAGGCTGGCTGGACTGAAACAAATAAAAATATTAACTCAACCTACCTGTTCTCTGCATAGGAAGTTTAGATTTCCAGTTTACAAATTTCAAGTTCCACACCCTTATCAATTCCATCCACGTTCCATTAATTCTAGTCCTTAGTTTCTTATACTTTTACGCTTGTAACAAATCAGTGCCTTTGTGCTTTTGTCTTCCCTATGTTTTAATTGATAATACATGTTGTGGTATTAGTAATAGAGATTTTTTTTTTCAGCAGGTGTTTTGAATGCATGGTGCAGAAAAAATGAATTCTACTATGAGTGAGGAGCCTGATGCACTGTCTGTAGTTAACCAACTCCGAGATCTAGCAGCTGACCCACTGAACAGACGGGCCATTGTTCAGGATCAAGGATGCCTGCCAGGTCTTATTCTGTTTTTGGACCATCCCAGCCCTCCGGTTGTTCATTCAGCTTTACTAGTAAGTATTCTGGAGATAAAGTTGTGTGCCAATAGGACATTTTGTAACTTTGTTAATATGTCTTTAAACAAGTAAAAATGCAAAAAATAAAACCTATGTTTATGTTATGTTGATATTTGTTATATGTGATTTTTTTAAAAAAACATATTTTAAAAATTGTTTAGCAATGACACATTATTCCAGGGGAATTTATATTTCTTGGAAGGGATTAATTTACTTTGCGTTTTTTCCCTAATACAGCTATTTCACTTTTTGTGTGGAGGGAGGTAAGCACCCTTAAATCTCTTTCTTAAGATGAAGTCATGGAGCTTAGTAAACATACACAGTGATGCGACATTCATACTGTAAAAAAAAAAAAAAAAAAAAAAAAAATAATTATAGGATAATTTAGGTTAGAAATGACCTCTAGAGGTGATGTAGTCTGTTCCACGCTCAAATTAAGTGTACTTAGATCATGGCTCAGGGTTGTGGCCACTTGGTTCTTGAACACCTTGAAGGATGGAGATTCCATAACCTCTCTGGCACCCTGTTCCACAGTTCTCATAGTATTAAAAACAAACACACACCACCACCCCAAGCCCAAAAAACCAACCCAAAATCTGGTAATACCTAACAAAACTTGTTCCAGCTTTCAGCTGTTTCTTCTCATTCTAAATCATAAACGCTAAAGTCCTGATATCTCATCCTGAATCTAAATACTAAAAAGTGTATTTCTTGCTTAGAAACAGGACAAAGAAAAGTCAAGATTTTGTTAAAAGTCTAATTCAATTCTTCTAATAAGATTTTAAGTTACTAAAAATTTATATTCTTTTTTTCTATTTTTATATCATTGAATTCTAAACAATGTGAAACTAAAGAATAGAGCTTTGTCTTTTATGTAGAAGTATACATTATTCTTTATACCATTAAGACCTATCTGTACCATAATTCTGTATTTTTCATTTGTTTTTCTTTCATAGTGGATATTAGTGGACTTCTTGGAATTACTTCAGTGTCTCTGATACTCTTCTGGGTTCAGGGAATGAGGTCCCGTAATCCAGAACCGTGTCCTGCTATTTAGTTTTTAGGTTAGCCTTGCCATAGCATTAGCCAGACTATAATGTTCTTTATTGGAAGAACTTCTAGTTGAGCTTACAGTTTTTGGGAATATGTTGCATTGGTTTTCTTTCCAGTGCAGTTTCTTTAGGTTGTCTGAAAAGAGGATCTTGTTTGGATGTCTCACTCTCTTTTTCCTTCCTTTGCTCCTTTGGGCTGTGTGTTCTCACTGCCTGCACGAGATTCGGTAATCAGTCTGTCATCATGTTACAAAACATAACTTTACATAAAAAGGACTGACTTTGTCAGATTGATAAGGGCTAATCCAGTTGCAGAGTGGTTCCACAGCCCTAGATATTATTCAAGTTGTGATGTAAGGACATCTCGTTGGGTGGGAATTGGAGACAGCTGTGTTGTTCCATTTAGTGGTAACCTACAGTTAGAGTTGATTAAGAATCAGGATTTAGAGGAGACCATGCTATATCCCAGGACCCTGGCTGCAATCAGAAGTGGATCCGTTTGCTGTGGAAACGTTTTTGTCTGCTACTCGGACTACTTGTGTTCATGAGTTCTTGAACCTCTTAGGTTCTGTAGCTTTTAATATCTTGGTAGGTTTTTAGTCTTCATTTCTGATATTTTTCCATTCTGAAAGGTCTTTTTTGTTTTATTTTTGTTCTTTTAGCCATCCCATTGGTCAAAAAGGTGCTTCCATTTGAGTGAGAATCATTAAATGTAGTAGTTTCCCATTAAGTACCTAATAGAAGGATGTACAGCACTGACTTTAATTTTTCTTATTGTATTATTCTGTGATTCCCATAGCTTGAAATGATAAATAATCTGTATGAATCGTCATAGTTCCCTATTTAACTTTTTTGGTACGTTGTAGAATCTTCCAGGGAGGGTGTTTTCCTCCCCATGTGCAGTTTCAGTTTAGTCCTTCTATCTAACCAAGAAGTGGTATATTTTTCTACAGTTTTCTCTAGTTTTGATTCCAGGAATTCTTTATGGTACACTTCAAATGCTAAAAGTTTTGAATGTTTTAAATAAAAAAAATCAGAAGTAACCCAGGTGATACTACTTTTTTCCGTTTCTCTTACTAAAATTAACAACAATAGGACTCTGAAGGTAAGAAGCTACATTAACGTTTCACTTATAAAACATCAAAGGTGACAATCTTGATAACAAAAGACAACAGGGTATTTTTATATTCAAGTATGGAGATAGTCCTATTGATTATGATGAAATTATTTGTGAGCTTAAAGCTAACATAGGTAAGTGTTTTGCCAAACAGAGGCTGAGCCAAAGTCCATAGTAGTAATCTTCCTTATGCCTTCAGTAGACTGTGATTTAATAAGCGTAAATGATCTCACTTCTTTGAAGGTGCGCACGTTTTCGTCTCCCATGGTGGGCAGGGGGAATGGGGAATAGGACTTCCTGGTGTTGGAAAGTCAGGTCACTTCAGTTGTTCTGATAACTTTGTCATTGCTCTTATTTTAGTGGATGTTACATTTGTCTGTAAAGAGTATGTAACAGATGGGAAAGAGACTGCCTACGTTTTTGACTCGAATAATTAGCTGTTAGGAAAATGGGTTGTTCTTTGTCCAGCAATGTTACATCCTTATTAAATTGCCTGAACAGACATGAATAAAAATGAGAGACTTTTTCCACCAGTAAGGATACATTTCTTAACATGAAGTTAGTAGTTCAGAGCTATCATTCAGGTATTTCCCCATAGCTGAAAAGTAGGAAAATAAATGCATATATAACATTTCTAAACTGCAGTTATTGATACTGATCCACATCAGGAAACTGCAAAAATCACATTTAGAGTTTTTGTGCCAGACAGCAGCCAGACTTTCTCAAAAGGCAATAAAATGGTCTTGAATTTTACCTAATATATGCTGAAGATGATTTGGAAAAAAAACCTAGGTAATTAGTTCTCTATCTATGAAGGGATTAAGGAGCATGTTATTTTTAAAGCAGCTATTGAGCAGCAAAGCTATTATATGACTGTATTTAAAGAATTGGTGTACTTCTAAAGCTTAATATCACAAAACCCATTTTATAAATCATTGTATTTGTGTATTGCAGGATTCTGCAAGTGCAGTTCTTGTACCTACATCAATAACACACTGATTAAAGCACAATGCACAGTACACCTTTGGAGATTCCTTCTCAGAAAACTGTCAGCACTAACAATCAAGAGATGTCTCATGAAAAGAAGGACTGACATTTTAACAGGAAGAGTATTATATTAGTCGGCTCACGCAATTTACAGTTGCTGACTGGGATTAGCAATGAGATGTCTACCTTGAAAGTCAAATAAACAAAACTTTGGGCAACAAATAAGGGTAAATTCCCAGTTTAGGTAACAGTAACCTAAGCAGCTTGCTGCTGCTTGTATTCTTACAGTGCATGGAGTGGTGAATATTGCAACTAGTCTTCAGAAGCTTATAAATGTGGTAGAAGTCTTTTTGTGGACAGTAGAAACTTTCTGCTGGTGAGTTTTCTAGTATGGGGGAGCCCACAGAACTGATGAAAATTATACTAGAAGCATAGTATGTAAAAATTACTTCAGATTTCAGGTCACATAAATGTTTGTTGGAAGGGACTTTTGGAAGTAATTCACTTCAGCTTCCTGCTTGAATTGGGACTGTAACCAACACCCAAATCAGGTCAGTTGTAGCTTTGTCTCTTTGATTCTGCAGTCCCACTAGGCCATCTGTTCCAGAACTACCTTTGTAGTGGAAAAACTTTTTGTACTATCTGATTTGAACTTCCCAAGCTGCAATTTGTGGCTGCTCCCCCTTGTTACGTTGTCTGCTGCTGTAGAGGGAAGTTTGGCTTGATCATCTTCATAAAGACTTTTTGAGTAGTTGTAGACAGCTGTTACATTGTCCCTTAGATCCTTTTAGCCAGTACAAACAAACCCAGTCTCTCAACCTTTTCTTGTAGCTTAGGTAGTCTATGCTTTCTGTGTATTTATAAGAATAAAACAATTTTTTAATGTTCACAGTGCGTGATAATACTCTTCTTACTAGAACTCACATTGTGAATGTTTTGCAGATGTACACTAATAAAAATGAATGATAATGTTTTGGACATATTGCTGATTTGCTGTGGTCCTCTTTCCTTTAGGCTCTCCGCTATTTGGCAGAGTGCCGTGCCAACAGAGAAAAGATGAAAAGTGAATTGGGTATGATGCTCAGCTTACAGAATGTAATACAAAAGTAAGTTTATGATGGATTGTTGGATCCTAAGACAGTGTAAGTGCAACATTCTGATGCAAAGTAAAACTTTACCTATGAATTTGTGTAGCAAATTTTTAATATTGCATTCTTCCTTGTTGAAGTTACGTGGCTGTAATTAATGGCTTTCATTTTACAGTATAGCAAAGTAATTGGACCACAGTCTACAAGAAATATTCATTTGAAAGTCATTTTCCAAACAACATATTTCTTGCCCTTGTTACAGTTAACTACTGTTGTCTCTTCCCTTTAGGTTGTCTTATAATCCTTCTCATCATTCTGTAAGGGTGCCTTGCTCTAGTGCATTTAATGAAAGTGTTTGGCATCTGCCATGTTTATTCTTTGAATCCCACCTTTGGGAAGGGAAATTGTATATGCAGTGTATTTGTTTCGATGTATTTTTGAAGGTATGTATCTGCAGTTCTGTGTTGAAGTAACATCTTGCAGGTGGAGTAGAAGTTAGCAAGGTTTATAGTGATCTCTAATTTCTTTGTAGAATATGTCAACTGGGTTATGTCTCTTAAAATTTGTGACTGTTGGATTTTAAGATTGCTAACTTGAGTCTTGAGTAGTGGAAGATGTGTGGGTATATGCACACTGGAGAAGATGCACGTGCACTTATTTATAGAAATTAATATGATGAGCCAAGATGAATTGTTACTCAAAAAAAAGCCCTGACCTCCTTCAAAGATTAGTCTGTCATAGCAAAAACTAATTTGCCATCAAGTTATCAAGAGGTTATTATTTTACACACAGTTTAATAGCACTCTAGTTAACTGGATTTTTCAGATGTGACGGACTGTTCCATGAGGGAGGAGACAAGTCATATTGCTGCACTGAGACGTGTCTCAGATAAATATTTAAGACAATTATTTAGAAAAGGATGAAACACAAGTAAAATTGTGTATTAAAGATTCAAGTGGAAACCTTTAATATGTTAATTGAACCTCTAATGTATCACTTGTGGTACAAGTTTCTTTTAGAAAAAAAACAAGGCTAGACTTCACTGGTTCCTTCATCCCATAGCCCCTCTGATTTTTGGTGGTGTTACTTTTGTTGTTGTATATCACTCTCTCTGTTACTGCTTATCTAAAGGTGTGAACCTGAAGAACTGGAGGGGCAATTCTGGTCTGTTCACAAGTCCTTTATGATATGTGGTCTAAGAAAGATTAAAACTGTTTACGTTGAAGTACTTCATTAATTCTGCTGAACTAACTGTTCAGCATTTTGTCTAAATACCATCTTGAAATTCACCAGTTACCCAAAACACAAGCATTTAAAACAAATGTCTTAAATAGGATGATAAACTGAATTATTAGAATTCAGAAGAGCATAGTTCTCAAATTGTTTTGAATAATAATTATAACTTTTTAAAATTATAGGTGTTTTTAATAGGATGTATGGGAAAAAATGGAATTATGTCTTGCAGTATTCACCTCTTTTAAGGAGAAGCATAATTAAGGTAAAATATACGGAAGTCTTTGCTACTTATTATAATAACAATAACTGAAATGTTTAGGTAATAACAGAAGCAGGTATTTCAGAAGAACTTACTTTTAGTACAGATTACATGTCTATTTAGTGCACAGAGACATCCTTAAGAAGTTGTTGAAAGGGGAATGGTAGTTCATTATCAGCCTCTGCAGCTTACAGTTATTACTTGGGAAACAGTCATGATTAAAATTTCTGCTTAAAGAATTCTATGGAAATTTCCTTGACAGCATTTTTTTTCTACATTTCAATTTCAAGGACCAAAAGAGTGTGAAGTTCAGAAACGTGCAGAAAAGGAGAGATAAGTCCATAAAAGCTGGAAATCTTGTAGGTGTTCCTTTTTTCTAGAAAGCTCTTTGGCAAGAGTAAGAACATACATTTGATTTGTATGCTTTTAACATTTGGAAAGTGTGATATCATGAAAATTTAAATGCATAGCATCTTCAAACACAAGACTTTGTCATGTGCTTGTCAGGATTTTAAGCTTTAATGTTGACAGGGAATGCTGAAGCTAAGTTTTGTATTGCCTGCAGAAATATGGAGAAAGATGGTAGAAAAGTGCTGAGAAGATAGATACAGAATTATTTTTGTTACAAAAACTCAATGGTTTGGGGTTGTGGTTTTTTGTTAGGAAGTCTGTAGGGGAGAAAACAAGTTCTCTACCTTCTTCAGATTTGCTTTACAAAATGCAGATTCTAGCTTTTAATGTGACTTCAGTTTACCAGAAGATATTCTAGTCCTTTGAACTGGAACTAAACATTAACAAATGCAGTAATAAATGCTTTGGTCTTAATGACTTCATGCTGCGTGTTCCAGTGTGCTTTCCAGAATCCGCGTATCCAGCTCATTGCTCTCTCTAATCTAAAATCTTTTGATTATTTTCACAATTTAATTTGGAGTTTAGATTTTTTTTTTGGTGATGTGTTATACAAATACAGACAAATCATAAAGAGATACGAAATTCTGTCTGTATTCTGCCTTTCGAGTTACTGCACAGTTCTCTGAAGCGAGACAGAACCCAGCATCATCTGGACCAGAAGGTGTAGTCACTGGCTTTTTGCTCTTGACAGGTTAAGCACATCCTATGGTCCGAATCTTTCCCTTTCATCAAATATTTTGTAACTCTTGCTGTTCACTTTCATTGACTTCTCACTTAACTAAATAATATCCAGTGGCTTTCCCTGTTCAGTACTGAATCGTGACAAACTGTATTCTGCCACTGATAAAGCTGTGTTATGTCTTTTCAAGCAATGAAATGGAGCTCGTGTGCACAGAGGCAAGTCGCAAACTGAATATTTGTCATATTTCAGACTTAAGTTGATGTTCAGCAGCGCTGAACTGACACCGTGCTTAGGAAGTCAAGAGTTTGTTTAGAATTCCAGTTCTCTTTTGCTTTCAGTTATGTAAATCCTGAAATTTGAGGGCTTTTCTCATCATGTGAGTGTCTTTTTATAAGCCTTGAAGGGCTCTGTATTGGAAACCTCAAGTTCAGGTGTGGAATTTCTTATCGTAACCTGCCTACAGCTAACCAGTCTAACAGATCTTTAAATGGTCGATGCCATCAAGTGGAAAAGAGTTGGGAGTTGGTTTGCTGCTTATAATTTCTTGTGATAGTACATGGGAGCCTCAGGCACAACCCTTTTGTTGCAAGTAATTCACAACCAATGGGAGAATATAGCACTTGTTTAAACTCATTACAGTGAAGGTAAAGAACTATTTCCTTCATAAGACTGCTGAGGATGCGGCTTGAAATTGTGCCACCTGTTTATCCAGTGATAAGCAGTAAATTAGACTCTGTACTGCATCATGGAAAATGGGTAGGAAATATTTGAGACACATCCAAGTTTAACTGTAGTTTTTTGAGGTACCTTCATGTCTCATTTCATGCTTATCAGTCCCCTAGTATTACCTGATCAGCTTTTTGGTATTTGCTTATAATAAGCATTATAGCTCACTTGTGAAAATCATTTTGCTGCTTAAAATGAATGTTTGGCTGACTCCTTAGTTGATACTACATTTCGCCTAAGGAGCAAAGGATAGGTTTTAGGTTCACTGTGACAGTGATTTTCAAGGTGTATGGCCACTAGTTAACAGTAAGAAGACTAACAGATCTTAGATGTAGAGAAGAGTGGAGCTTGTAGGCTCTAGAGCAGAAATATGAAATTTCAGCTCTGAGGAGTACAGAATAAAAATTTGAAGGCAGTGAGATATTTATATATTTAGGATTTTTTTTTCAGACTGGACTTGATTGGGAACATGTATGACTTTCTGAGATACTTCATATGAAAGGCTTTATACACTTCCATATTTTCTAGGACATGTGAAAAGCTGTTCAAGCTTCATGGAATAGTTCAAAACATTTTTTCAAATACAAAAATTTCTGTTGCCATATTCTATACTTGCTGAATTTTCATTAGTGGGGGAGATTTCTTTTTTGTTCATCCATATCTGCTTATTTTTAAGTGAAACTTGATGCATCTTTCCATGTTATAAGCTTGGAGTAGTAACTGTCTTGGGAGAGAAATCAGACCTTTAAAATCCCTACCTGCAGGTTTCCAAAGTGGTTTTTTTTTTTTTTATGGCTGATACTGCTTTATTGCTGTCACAAAAATGTTTTACTTCCTTCCCAGGTGACTGAGTACCTGTAAATGTACCTGTAGAAGTGTTTGTGTAAATAAGTAAAAAGCAGAGGAGAAATTGAGGCTCATTGGAGAATGATGTTTCATTGTATTCCAGCAGTCATCAGCAGTTATTTAATATTGAAAACTGGTTTAGTTGCTGGCTTTATGAATTGTATGGAGGACTTAATGTGTCCGTATGGGCTTTATAAAATGTTATTAGCAGCTTCTAGAATTAAAATTAATTAGGATTTATAGCCTACAAGGAAATATACTAATTTGTGTTCAGAGTGAAAGTGACTTTTGATGGACAGTAAAGGTCAAAGTTCGTAATTTTTCATAATCTTTATGAGCAGCATAATGGTACTGTTTAAATATAACTAACATGTATTTAAAAAAAAAAAACCTGATGAAGAGTCAGTATACTAAATAGCTCTTATTATGGAACGGCAAATTACTGAGAGTAAAATTCCAATTACTTAGCTAAAAGAGCTTTTCAAGATAGTATTCCTTTGCCAGGGTGTCAGATTTAACAAGCTGAACTAAATCCAGTGCATTAATCAGCTCTTCCAATTTATTACTTGCCTAAGAAGATTAGGGCAATTAATACGTGTTTAATTAGAGTCCCTTGCAGATCTGGTAAAATACATGCAGTCTATAATTGCTGACTTCTTACTCAATTTTAATTTTTTGTAGTCTTAATTACCTATACTTTTTGAATATTTAATTATTTGTTGAAACCAGCAAAGTTTAAATTTGTGATGTCTGGGAAAAAAAGCGCCAAGTATTTCAGTTAGCATTTGCTGAAATGAAAATAGTGGGGATGTAGCATCGCAATAGTTTTATCACTTTTGTTGTGTGGCATTCTTCTTT